ATATATATATATATATATATATATATATATATATATATATATATATATATATATATATATATATATATATGTATATATATATATATATGTATATAATATATATATATAATATATGTATATGTATATAATATATTGTTACAAGTATCTTTTTTGAGCAAACAATGTCGGAAATGCTGTGCATCGAGGCAGAAAGTGCAGTTACAGAAGATGACAAAAAAATGCTTATCTCAGATGATAATCTGCGTCAACAACGCCAATTTATCTTGCAAAAAGCTGCCGAATTTGATGGGACACCTTTTACTTTCCAAAGGTTATCGTGATTTTTGTACTTCATCTTCGTTTCTTATTTTTTCATTCTTCACCATACATTTTCATTATGGAGCCATAACAACTCTTTATTATTGAACGTAAATTTAAAAAAAAGTCTCTATAAGTGAGGAAGTCCTGGCGAAAAAGAAATTTAAGGCTATGTGAACTTCTGATTAGTCCTTCTCGACATTACAAACGAACAGACAAATATCTTCGAGCTCTGGAAAAGAATATCAATGTGGTGACGACAATTACAGAGAGTGGAGAACGCGTAACAGGAGTAGAGCCATTTCCAGGGGAACTAGACATTAGTTCCACGCTTCGCATTGAAGAACCATTTTTTGTCCAGGTATACCTTCATCTATTCATATAAAGTCTTTTTAATTGGCTCTCTATTTTCTTGAGTTATAAACAGCCACTGTATTATATGTTGAGTGTGAGTTAAATGCTCCATTTTTCATTGTTTTTGCAATCATGCATTCTTTTATCTCATTTTTCCTGTCTACTGTAATGATCGATGTCGAAATTTTAAATCACGGTTACTTATTACAGGTGGATGAATGTGATGCGCCAGTAGAAACGAAATTGATTGCTGCTGGAGATTATTTTAGCAGAGTACTTGACTAATTTATACGAGTTCCTCTTTTTTGCATAGTGGTGTGCTGACTGCCCCTTCCGTATTGGTGGGTGCAAAATGGAACTTTCTAATGTAGCGGGTTATACACTGCAACTATAATTTTTGAATTTGGGTTGCACTCAGCGTCTCAATTTGTTGATGGGACCCTTGATTTTAATTTCATCCAGATTATGCAGTAATTACATCCGTTTGCTATTTCTTTAATTCGTGGATTCGCTAAACTGATTTATTAAATTCATTTGCATACGAAACATTCAGTAGTGATGCCATTTTATTAAAGAAGTAAATTAACGGGAACTAGTGACTTTGGTTTTTTGAAAATTTTATTAGTATTGGACGGATTAAGATTACAATTTCAATTATTAACTTCTGTAGGGAGCCACGTTTCACCGTCCTAATTTGTAGCTCGATCACTGACATACTTTTTAGGAACTGTTTCGACGATGCTGTTGATTTTCTGATTATATATTTATGGGCATTGTTATAGGGAAGTCGTGATTTTCAGGGAAACGAATCTCCGGAAACAATTGCAAAAGAACTAGTAGCTGGTGATTGTGCTCCAATAAACTTGTCTCCATCGCGCGATGCTAAGGATGAGCTGCCTGAGATTAAGGTAAATTGCTGTTCTTTTCTATACGTTTTCTTCAAAAAAAAAATTTAGGCATATTCGCTCAACAGAGTAATCAAGATTTATAACTTTCAGCATATACTGTTTACATAAACAAATTATGATCACAAGTTGACTTTATTTCACAGTAATCTGCTAATGTTTTTAAGATAACCTAAGTTTTGATTAAAGAATTATAAGTTCCGGCTCCAGATTTTTTCCATTTTTGATTGACGAATATATGGCTAAATTTCTCCAGCAGTTAACCAGACAAATAATTTTGGTCTCAAAAAGTGTTTTCAAACAAACTGCCTTGCTGTGCAGTTTTAGTGCCTTATTCCAAAATCCCTGAGTGGAAAACCTGACAGATGAAAATTTTTTTAGTAAAATTTAATCACGAGAAAGAGACCTATCTCTGCTCTGTTTGGAAAAATCTTGATTGTTTATCGTTTTGATACAAATACGTTGTGCTATTTTTTTTTTTTTTCATAATTTTATCCATTTACGACAGTGTAAATCCATCAATTGCGCACTCGATTTGTTTGTTTACAGCAAGAGAACAACTCAGAGCGCGAAGCAGAACATGGCATTTCACAAACTGAATCACTGACGAAACCAGAAATGCAAAATGCCAAACTGGAAGAGATGGAAGTTGGAGACTAGTGTTTCGGATTGGTGAATGTAAATATGCCCTTGTCGTTTATGCTCTTTCGAGAAGACCCAAAATGCATATTTGATTTACTATTTGATACTCAGTTATTGCAAGATAGAATTATATGCAAATGTTTGCATGTCAGGTCTTTGTACACATCACTCGGCGTGTAGAGCAGATGCATCTTTTTGCTTATATGACTGTTCAGCTGTTTGAGGGAAATGCATTTGGAGCATTCTATATTTGTGTTGACAATATTATATATTTTGAGCCTAGCTTATGGCTTTGTTGTTATTGAAAGACTTTGCTAAGTGCACTATTATTCTCTATCACCGGTATCGCTTCTTAAGTCACATAAATAAATTTCGTTACAGAGTCAACCACTGTCCCACATCTGGCCAACCTGAATTACTTTACACTATTATTTTGTTGATGCCACTCCACATTCGTTTATAGCATGCGGAAGATATTTATTAAAGGCAAAAAAAGCATATTTCACAAAAGTGGGAATTACTCGTATGGCGACTTCACTGAATAATTGGACTATGACATAATGAAACATTACAATGATGAATCAAACCCAACTATTTCCTAGAAAAGAACAACACAAACTTCCCTTCTTTGTGGCGTTGTCGGACATTCCTGTTTCAGTCTGAATTATCCGTTTTAAGGCTTACCAAAAACTGATGGTGGAGACGATGTCAGATCACCAGACGGAACTGACAACCTTAAGAAACTTGAGGAGGAACCAGATAATGACAACATTAGTTTAGTAGCAAGGTTTCGCATTTCAATGTCGTAGGAATTATATTTAAATATGCCTATATTAGGTTCCAAATCCACCAATGTTACTCTTAGTTACTTTACTTTTAAGTTATGCCATAAAAAAGCTATTCATGAACTAGGAATAGAAAGGGGTAACGGGTTTAATTTTGCTGCTAAACATTATTGTTTTTAGCAGCAAAATTGAAAGTATCCGGTACCGGTGCATCCACGTTAAAGGCGTATCCTCCCTGTTGCTCCACTTTCTTACTCTTCGCCAAAGACATTCGCTGTTCACACACTCGCAGTACTCCATCCAGTATTACTTGTTTTTCCGTATTAGTACATGTTGTCATAGAGAATAGCAGTTTCTCATTACTTGCCCTCAGTGCTAAAAAATCAAAGAATTATACTTATCGATATCTTGAGAAAATGATTATTAACTTCCAACTGATACTATTCTATCTCTTGAATTCTAACTACTTGTGCGGATGGTTATCAAAAAACAGCTCTCAGTTCAACATCTATCTATGAAGGCAAAACTCAACACGAAAGAAACTGTCGTGCAAATGTTATAACACTAGAATACAGGATAGTTAATGCAAAGTCGAATATTGTTAATTGCTCAAAAGTCGATATATTCATATTCTTCAGAGTATTGCGTTGTAGAGGAAGAAGGAAAATGAAACAAACCATCAAGTGTTTCCTTATAAAAAATGAAAACGTCGGCAGTTTCATCATTATCGAGAGGAGTAAAATACGCTTCCATGGAGTCCTCATCGCAGCTATCTGACGTCAATGTTGAATCTGATTCAAACGCTTGTGCGTCACTTTCCGTCTGAATATAACTGCTGAATCACGCGGGTCTCACAAATTAGATCTTTTGTTGTATTAAATAAATACGGCAAAATTTTGCTGTTATTCTCATTTTAATATCCATGGACCATACATTTGGTGATTTGGTGAAAGACTTCTTTTTCAAGTGATGTGACCAGCAAGAAATTCCTGGCTATTAAAAACTTGACATACCCTCTCTTTCTTACTCTGGTGTTCCGCCAAGGTTTCTAAATATTCGAGAATATCTTCATCTATCTCATCTTCGCTATCTGCCAAGTCTTCATCTCGTCCAACGTCCTCCTGCAAATATCATAGTTTATAAACAACATCCAGTATCCGACATGTGCTCAATATTTTAACCATTTTATCATGAAGCTATTCATTTTACAGCAGTACTCTGAAAAGCTTAACTTTATAAATTAAGTTGACAGCGATTCCACACCTAAATAAACCACAACAATGAATACCTCAGTTTCTTTACCATCAGATTCCTTTTCGTTGGCCAAACGATTTTCCGCTTTGATTTTCATTGCCTTCTGAAGCCCAATCAAAAGCGAAACAAGTAATTCATTGATCTACAAGTTGAATTCAGCTTTATTCTCGTATGTCAGAAAAGACAAATGCAATTCTTAACGACAATAACCGAAATCCCCTTCCCGAGCTCATAGCAGCGATATCTACATTATATATGAAAAAAGGATTACTTGCTGTGCTTTTTCGTCGATCAGAGTAGGTCTATGGGCAGCAGATAGTCTTGCCATAGTGCATAAACCTATTATGGCCATTTTCCGATCGTGAACACCTTCCAAACAATGTGCTAATGACAAAAGCTCGTTGACCAAGTAATTTAATGTATTATTTCCGTGAGGTTGCAGCTGAGGTAACAGATTCACAAACATAGCTGTGTCGTAATACAAACCGGCTATCACTACCTGAAACGTTCACTTGCTTCTTTATATCACTTTATGCAGTATATGCAACTTAGTAACTAAGATAAAGAATGACTAACCAAAAGAAGTGCTGGTTTCAAAGTTTTGCAGTCCTCAATCGGCTGGTGGAGCCGAGTAAGAACTAACTGGACGAGATCCGGTACTAAATTGCTGATTTTACCCTGAAAATTTTTTCGTTACAATTAAAACTTCAGCAACTCAGAGTTTAGAGCAAAAACAAGACTTGAACTTTCAAGTTTCATCCACGTCTCCCAACAACATACCTGACATTCGAGAATAAGGCATTCGAGCAGTTTAGCCGCATGTACCTGGTCATTTTCTTCCATATCTTCATTGAACATGTTAACAGCAATTTCCACGAAAGCTCTCAGACGCTCTGGACGAGCTAGAAAGCCATCGGTATCTACCGTCAAATATGAATGCAGTACGGGCATCACATCTGCAGAGAAAAAATAGTTTCATATCATAAATTAGTGGAGCAAAACAACAGCAACTTCAACCCAACTTGTTTCTCAAATCATTATAATCGCTTAAGCATAATCGCTTATAATCGCTGATAGCTCGACCTCGAGAGTTTCGTAATAAAACCGTAAAACCAAAGAACTTCAAAAGTAATGCTCACACGAAACTGAAAAGTGAAGACCACTTGAAATAAAGGGTTTGCATGCAAATACCTCGGCAGAAATATTCGTTTTTATTTGATTTGCAATTTTACCGAGAAAGGATGAAAATAGTAATCAAAGACAATGAATAATGCTTACCGACAAAAACCATCCCGTCCTGACTGATTGCCAGTTTGTGAATATCGAAGAATATTTCCCACATTGGTTCACTTATTGAGTATGTAATCAGCGAATTTGCCAGTGCCAAAACTTCTTCGTAGTAATCTGTGAAAAAACAATAATTATATTCAAAGATTTCGATAACACAAAAACTTCAAAAAATGTTCCAATTTCCTTCTGGTTTCATTATTCTTAAATACCTCTCCTAAAATGTTTCGGAAAAATAATTCCAAATAACAATGGGGATGGTTTTTCACTACAACAGTTACGAATGCTTTTTCGATTTGCTAACAAAAAAAGAGTGAACAATGTAAAATGGTAGATTCTATTTATCGGCTGTTCACAGCGTTGAAAGAGAAGAAAAGCAAGGAATTCGTTAAATCCTCAAGAGGGACACAACAGTCTTAATATGTAGTAAAAAAGGTAACCGATCTGCTCGCGATCCAGAACAGATTTAATCACCCTACGCACTTGTTCTTCGATATGATAAAGTACATCTTGATTATCTTCCACCATATCCAGCACTGAGCCCAAGGTAGTCAAGATACCCATCACAGTCACTGTGCGGTCATCCTGATTCTCCGATAAGGAAAGTTGCAAGAAAATATTTGCCTAAATAGGAATAATTACTTAAAATGTTAACTCAAAACAACTACGTTCTAGTTTCCTCTTATTCTTCATAAAAGACGAACATCATAGCCAATAGTCCTCGTACAGAATATTTCACCTACATTCTTTCAAATTCAAGACAGCTTAAATCTGGATCATCTAGGCAAGTTACTGTAACGTACTGCCGTTAAACTTACTGTACTGAAGAATATCTTTGCTTATCATGCAATAAATTAAGCGATATGATTTCACAAACATTCCAATCAGAAATGAGAGAACTGGAATTACATCTACTGCTATTTGGATGTCATTTTCAAACAACTTGCCAATTCAGTTGCAACGTCAACGGCAAGAGGAATAATGTCGTCAACGAAATCTTCCAGCAGTACTTCCATTACACTTGTCATTTCTTCTATTTCAGCTCGAGCCACAAGTCGCAATACTTCGATGATAACGGCATGAACATGAGGTTTTAATATTGAACGATCTAAAATTTTCGTTTAGGAATGGATGTAAAACTTACCCCAATCAATAATTTGTAACAAATATTTGCATTCCTGTCGCCGTACAAATGGAAATTAAGAACTAGCATTTTGTCTGGGCTTCCAACATGTGCTGTATAGCCATTGCAGCTTCTACTTTCACGGGTAATTCTTCGTCACCGTCAGCTAGCCTTTTCACTAACTCTTCATAAATATGTGTTATTCGACTACCAGATAACTTGCCATTGGCAAATTGCTGTAAATAATCTTTATGATGCAAAATCAGTGCAAAGGACAAGTTAAAGCTTTCAATTAGTAACCGAGTGGATAGAGGCAACACAGCAGCATACCCTTATAGTCCAGCATGCTCTGGAGCGTATGAATCGTATTGGATGAGAAATTTTCGAGATTATAAATCTCTCCACTAATTCATCAACAGCACCCCTGTACTTCTGAAAAACAATTTCTTTAAAAAAAAGAGATAAGAATATAAGTGATGCACCGATGTAAGGGAACTATTAACTATTAGTCTTTTAAAGAATTTCACCACCGAGGGCACAGGATAAACAAACAAATACGACGAAACCTTGCTTTTCGTTAAAGCAACAAAAAGTTCTCCCAGAATGCGCAGAGCACCTTCTTGATCACGTGGATTTACATCCGGACCATTAAGCATGCTTAATGCAAACTCCAGTATGGGTTGCAACATATCTTTCCTCTTTGCAAAACCAGTTAGCACGTTTGCTGCCGCAATTGCCGGATTGTGCAACTCATCATATACATCTGCAACGTCACAATTTCATTTTTTACTGACTTTGTAACAAATTATTTAGCAAGCAAACATTAAATATTTTCATTTTATTGACTTCGACATTTTAGTCCTTACTCCAGTATCAGAATTTTCTAAAGAATAAGTCCTTCATAAAATCTTTTGCGGTATCCGTGACACGTCTGATCATAGCACAACTCTTTATTAAAACATTTTCGCAAATAATTGCACAAAGGTGCACCATATTTGATGCGAACAAATTCTTCTGGTGAGTCACTCCACAACTCTTCATCTTCATCGGAATACTTTAATAATGGAAAGAGAACGCTACGTACAATTTCCTGAAAATGTAAGCAAATTTAGATCCAAACTACTTTCCTTAAGAATTTGAAATCTTTTCTTGCCTATGCATACAATGAAGAATACAATGCACGAGGCATAAGCGCTAGGGTTTATGCGCATAATAGATTAATTACTCTAACAAGGCAACAAATACCTGACAGTGAGGCTTGATGATTTTCCAAGTCCTCGATTGCGCAATGGCTATGTCGATGTACTGCAACAGAGAATGTAACACTCGTGATGATACATAATTGCCATTTCGATAACCATCCAGAACCTGCAGACAAGTGTTCAAAATTGGAATTGCAAAATGCGCCATATAATTTTCCGCAAATTCTGAATAATTCAGTTGCACTTGCCCTGGGGATCCATACCTGAAAACGTACGTATATTAATTGTGTTACTGGAAAAGTAGTCAAGCCTGCGCATTTACATTCTTTGACACACCACTATGTTTTAAATTTAAATCTGCATTTAACATCAGCTGCAGAATAAGGCTATTCCCGAACAGAAGCTGTTATGATTATTCTCATTTTAGTAATTTCATTATTTTAGTTCTTACTTCATTATCAGAGAATTCTTAATCAAAGAAAAAGAAGTTTTAACAAAGCAAACACAAAAACCCGAACTTCGCTTTAATTTGATCCATATCAAATAGAACATATGGCGATATTCAACTTAATTTCTATTTATCAAACGACACTTAGCATAACGATATTTTGAGAACTACTGCTTCTATTTCTTCGATCTCTAAGGAAACTGAAAATAGGAGAATTAAAGAAACCTTTCAAAAATGCGCTCAACAATTGCAGAGGCCCACTTTTTGCATTTCCACCACACTGTCCTTTCACGGTCGTCTTCATCAACTGTGTTCACTTCTTCAGGTACAGTTCTTCCAATAATTAGTCGAAATTGCTCCAACCACTGCGTCAAGGACTGACCCGTAAACATTTCCAGATTCAAGGAAAACTACAATGAAATGAGTGATTGACATAATGGATGGGGAAAGATACGCTTTAAAAAAATGAAACAACATCACACCGCTGAGTGGTAATCCTTGGAACTTCTATTCATTACCTGAACAAGCCCATAAAATATCTTCAGGATAAGTTTTTGAAGCAAGCAAGATTCTTGCGAAGCATCGGGCATGAGAGTAATGAGACGTTCGAGAAGCATTGGCATCAGTAGACCCATTGTTTCCACTAATGGTTTCTTCTCTTTCACTCGGCGATATCTAAAAATTTTCCATTAGTGTTATTTGATTTCATATAAAAGGTTGCAGATAATTAGATAGATTTAAATATTAAAACTAGGAGTTCACGCAGACCTGCAGTATTAACAGACATTTCATCAAGTCGCTATCATAGAATCCAGATCATATAACGATTTCAGAAAGTTCAAACAAACTTCGATCACTGCAGTGTGTACAAACAAGACTTACTCATAAAGTTTAACTAAACGTCGAATAACCAAAAGCGCTCCTAGCCAAGACGGTCCATCCACTGAATGTAATAAAACTGCAACTTTCTGTGGCAAGTAGGGCCAATTTTTTGGGAAATCGTGTCTTGTGATTATTCCAACTGCAGTGCACAATTGAACTCTAAATGAACATCAAACAATAAATTACCGGCAATTGTACATCTTCTGAAAATACATTAAACTAACAACGACTTTTTATGTACTCAATGATACACACCTGACTGCTTCAGGTGAAGCTACAATGGCATCTATGATAAGCTCACGAATAAGATGTTTATCTTGTTCAGGAAGACTGAATGAGTGCTTGTCATCTTCATCCATGATCCAATGTCTGAAATGCTTAGTTGAAATGATCAGTGATTGTTACCAGTCTTTCGCTAAATTCCAACTGATTAGCATCAGTTGCATTTAACCCCATAGCAAAAAAAAAAAAAAAAAAAAAACTTTCAGGAATCCTTACTCTAATGACAAAATATTAACCGAGTTAAACCAACAATCTTACTCATATGCACTTGACTGATGCAATATTTACCAAAGAAAATACCACAACAAGATTATTTTCACCAAAATTTAGATCTCGAAAATTATGTAATTAATCAGTTAGCTCTGTTAAGTTATATTTCGTATAAGTTGGCATATATAATCCGTGAAATGAGCATAGAAGTTAACAATGCAAGAAGAAACTTCAGGTTAAGTCATACAATTTAATCGGCGTTCCCAAACTCAATCTATCTCTTCACAACTTAAATACCTGTTAATAACGTTCTTCAAATAAATGACAGCTGCTTGTCGAGCAGAACAATCCACTCTCTCATCCATAATGATATGAAGCAAGAGAGGAGCAAAGCCTATTAATCGCATATTCTGAAAAAGTGTTATTGCACTGGTAAATTCAGAAAAGGTACTACTATACTAGAAATTCGGATAACTGATTTTTTCCCCCGAATCGTATTCCATTTAAATATTTGAATCCGAAGCAATTACAGCACTTCAAAACAATGCTCACATTGTTAGGTCACAAATCATCATGTAAAGCAATAATTAGCACTGATACGATTAATAACTGCTAATCTCTGTTTCGGTAATAGCATAATATAGAATGGTATATCTGGATTTGCGGGACTCAAATTCCATTTTGAACATGTTATGGCACAAGGACGAAGCACATAAATAGAATACTACTTGAGGCATCATACCTGCTCCAGATATGCAGCTGCCTCCTTCTGATTCGTTGAAGAAGTGGTGGCCTGCAGCGCTGTAATTAAATTTTCCCTTTCCATCACCGGATCAGTTTCCGCAACGTCTCCACGTAACCCTTCAAACATGCAAAAGTATCTGCAAAAAAGGTATACTTCCCCATATGTCGCAAACTATTTATAACCCAGTGAACACGTACTAGAACACGTCCCCCGCCAACATCCAAGAACGTATTGATTTACAAACATACGAGAAGCATTAGCTTACAAACATATAAGTACGTACTACTTCATAACGTTACATTCTACGTAACAAATGTGTGCCAGTACACAGATGAGTTCTTTCTTGTCCAGCAAGACTGATCTCAGTGGAGACAATCCTAAGTCATTCACAACAAAATTGCTTGCCTTTGCAGTCAGGCACTTATCAAAAGATTGTTTTGTCACTGATTACGAGCAGAAGGTAGCTTGAAATCTTTCAGCTGATTTGCCATACACCTTTTCGTTTATCACCGCCAACAGCCGACAAGCCATGTAGACGTAATTCTCGTCTTCTGATCTATGAGAGACATTCCGGAACAAGCGAATACTACCTTAAAATATCCCAGTTAACTCTACTGCGCGAAAACGACCCGTCGCAGTTGCGTCGCAACAACCCTAAACATACCGAAGTGTTCTCCGGTGCAAGTATTTAACGCAGCCTTCCAAGCGACACTGTCCCAACTTTGCATGGGTTATATTCTTGGATTAAAACTGTTTTTTTAATTCGGATATTTCGAGAATGTTTAAGATGATAAGTGTATTTAGCAGAGGTTAAGAGTAGCTTATGAGAAGTTACGAGTAAAAAAATATTCTGTCTGGCTGATTCTACAACTGTTAAAAGATGATTGTGATTTTCTATAATTATAATTAAATTCTGTAATTGTCAAGAACCGATTGCAGAGAGGCAACAGAGATTGGTACGTGGAATGATTTTCTTGTAAGACAAGAAATATCAGTGTTGCGTGACAAGATTTCTTTTTCTTTCTCGATTTGCAAAATGAGGACTGCAGCGAGAAACTATAAATCATTGAGTAGTTTTTGTGCGTATTCCTGGTGAGTCTGTCTTTCATTCATTTATTTTTTCATTTGCAGGATTCATTGTTTAATTTTGGAGGGATAATGGCGAATGGAGTAAAGGAATTGCCTGAAAAGTTTATGGGAAGTTTTAAGCTTGATCGCAGTGAAAATTTCGAAGAATTTCTGGCTTCAAAAGGTATGATTTAGCTCTTAGTTTTTTTCTTACTTTACCTACATTTGTAATTTCAGGTTGAGTTTAGAAAAAAGTATTCACAATATTTGTTAAATAAATAGACTCATCAAATTGTTTTTTCTCGTATATGGTTTTCTAATATTTTTGCCTTAACGGCACACTTTATGCAACAATTTTGTTTGTTGATTGGACTTAAAATACGGATTTTTCAGGCATTAATTGGTTTTTAAGGAAAATGATTTCTTTTGCATCGGTTACTAAAGTATTCAGCCATTCCGATGAAACCAAAGGTGCCTATAATTTGTGCAATCGGTCATCTAAGAAAGATACGGTTTACAAGAATTGGAAACTAAAAGAGGAGTTTCAGGCTGAAGGATTTGATGGTAAAATGCACAGAGTATGTTAAACACTTCGAATTACTATAATAGATTAAAAATCGTTTATTTTAGAGTGGTGCTGAATAATAATGGTTATTTTCTAGTGGATTCGTCGCTTAACAGTATTTTTACTTATTGCAGATATATGTTGAGCAATCAGTATATGTTTTTTGATCTTTGGACTTTCTCTGTTTAGAACTACAACTTGATAAATTTTCGGCACATGATTCCAGGTCAACTTCGATTTCGATCCAATTACAGGAAGTTTGAAAGAGACACATATCCGAATAGACGACCCAAACGATCATGGAGAGACGTACACTTATACCGTTGACGGTGATACTTTGACGTTGGTGAGTGTTGGTTTACTAGATTTTCCGTTTCTTAGTTTCTGCATTACCATTGTTTTCTTTTACCTACATTTAATCTTTTTTTGGTAGTGGCCATGTCACCATGTTGCAAATGTCTTATACATCGTTATGATGTAGAAAAATTAATGTGCATCGAAATTTACTGAGCTTTGAAATGCATCGAAACTTACTGAGTTCCGAAACGGAAAAAAAAGCTACCATATGCCTGCGGAATGCTTTCATTTAAATTGTCATGCTGCTAACAAAAAGGATAAAATAAAGCTAGTATACTAAATATTATCTATTTTCCGGCTGTTATATTTTCCTTTTCTCCAGAGTATGGCAAATGAAAAAGTGTCCTGCAAGCGGTACTTCATTCGACAATTACCTCCTGAGCAGCAACAATCACCTTCATAGATTGATGTGATTCGTAGAGCAAGAAAGATAAGCGATTAATATCATATCATACACATAAATATCATGTCATGTACCCAATTTACTCTTTTTTTTACTGCTTGGCAAGTAAAGAAGATTTTTTAAACAAAATGTTTTCTAATTTTTTGATTTTTCATTTACGTGCTTATTTATTTGTTTCCCCTTTTTATTTCTATTTTGTAAACATCTGTTTTACATTGTCAATCTTATGAAGATGAAGGATTTGCTATAATTTCTTCTATTTAACTTTTTCGTAGTTTTTTATTTACCTGTTTTTGTCGAATATTTATTTTGCGTACGAATTCATATATATGTTCTAATATTCAAATATATATGAAGGAATAAAGGATTGCTTGTATCATTCAAACTTGTGCACGCACGATTCTCCTGCTAATTCTATTAATGTTAGTTAATTATGTGTATTACCAAATGCACTTTTAGCTGTATGTTTAGTTTGTGATAGTTAGCTATTCACCTGCTTTATTCGAATCAAGCAGTTCATCTTATCCTGTTTAATTTTTCAGAGAACCTATCTTACGTCGACTGCATTTTTGCAGTTCGCATCCTACATTTTAATTCCTTCAATTTTTCAGTATTTATTATAGTCTTCTCAAACATTTCTTCCTTTGCGATTTTAATGAAGCAATTGAGATGTTTGTCTTGCTAATGCTGAATTCTTCAAGGATTTTTTAAATGGAAAAATTTCGTTTAATTTTCTGTATTAACTATCTTGAATGGTCATGGAAATACTTTAATAAGAGTGGATGAGCGAAAACGTCTTTTCCAAAATTTTGATTAGATGAGTGATTATGCTTTAAAGTTCTTTTCATCTCACGAATTCTTTATTTTCATAGGTAATAAAAATATTCTTTGTCTCATAGTAATAATAATAATAATGATAATTAATAATAATAATAATGATAATAATAGTAATAATAATAATAATAATAATAATAATAATAATAATAATAATAATAATAAT